AAAGCAGGTGATTGTAACAGTCCTTCCATTCCTCTCTCTCACCAATATGCAGGATCTATATAAACCCATTGAAATCAACAGTCAAACAATAGGGTGTCTACCCATTCCAGATAAATGGAAGTATGATTCAAAGAAGCAGACACAAATTTAGATGAACCCTTTTTACATAAAGTACCTCTCTCCTGTCCAATTTAACTTTCTACATATTTCATAAAGCAGAAAGAAGTGATAAGGACAACTGAGAGCAAGAGACATAATTCAACAGGTGTTCTGTAATCCTTTCTGAATTAAAGACTCCTTCCACAGAATACCAGAAGACATTTCATGTAAATGATAGATAAAAAACCTGAAACTCTAAATTGTCTTACTCTTACCTGCTTCTGCTGGAGGGAATAAAAAAATGCAACATGCTATTTCCCCAGCCTTTCTCCTCAAGGTATAAGATCAACATCTTTGCCTCCTAACAAATGATGTTAGGTGATCTTCCTGCATCTCTTCCAGTATCAATTCTCATTAAAAAGACAAAAAAAAAAATTCTTTGCCTTTCACTGCTTCCAGAAATTTATTTTTTGGCACAATGGAAATAACCACAGATTTATTTTATTTTTAAACACAAATTCCAGTTCATAGCCACCTGTTTTCTTTACTCACTCTCCATACTTCTAGATACTAAACACATATGTATGATGTTGTGTCCTGGGTCTAAATATTATCAATCTGCACTCCTCCACATAATTCTGCAGAAGTTGAGATCAGCTCCTCTTAAAAGGAAGGAGAGGGCATAATCATCCTGTGCCCACACACCCCCCCTTTTTTTTTTTTTTTTTTTTCCAATTTAAAGAAGTGTTTCTTCTTTAATTTTCTAGATTTTCCTAGATTTCTTTATTCAAAGCATACATCTTGATGGGACTCAGCATACAACCAAACTAATCATCACTACTGTGTTTTTCTTTACCTCTCAAATATCATGAAAAAGGACACTTATGGGACAAGTTCAATTGAAAGATCATGAATTTGTACTATAGACTATCTATCAGAGTCAGCATAGTAAAAAGGTCCTTAGGAAAATGTTATGGAACTAATGTTACCATCACACATACTGCATAAGAAACTTTTCAGAGGAATCATTGACATTGAAAAGCAGCATCATGTTACTATTGTCCTATTAAAAGAAAAAAGGCATGGTATCTCTTCTGAGTTGATAGTTAAAATGAGTGCATTATGCACACTGAAATTTACAACTGTGAATTCTACAAGCAACCTGTACACATTTCAAGCTGGGTGTATGAAATAATAATGAAGGCTGATATTCATTGTAAGGTGATAAATATTACTACAACATTTGAGACCGATGGTCATGGACAAGGAACTCATTATACTATGTGCTGCACAGTAAAGACAGAACAAAATTTATTTCTATCAAGAGATATTACAATCCAAGACAAGAATTATATGGATTCAAGGAAAGAAATTGAAATTAGTCATTGTAATGGGCATCCATCTCAACACAAAGCAATGCTAAGTTTTAGGGAGAGGTTGATTTAAAGATACTGAAAATTAATTTAAAAGAGGATAATGAGTTATGCAGATACCTATAGGAAATATCTTCAGCCATAAGAGACAGTATAAGACAGCTGAAAGAGCTAGTCTGAAAATTAACAAATGAATAACGAAGATCGGTATTGAAGGCTGAATGTAAGCAAGGACAGATATCTCAAACCAGTAAATCAGAAATAATCAACGGGTTGGGATAAGTTATAACAAGTAGCTTACATGTAGTACAACTTAAAGGAACGGATTGAGATGCAAACAGAAGAATTGCATCTGGCATCTAATCACTTTGATTACAACTTTTTGTACAGCAATCTCCACAAAGAAAAATAGGTCAAAGCTGCAACTATTGAGTCCAAGAAAAATACACAGCAGCACATCAAAAAGTAAAGTGAATATTTAATGAATTATATTTGAGTGGATACAAGAATAGACAAGAATATATTCCAGAGGAATTACGGAGTGAAAAAGTAAGGAGAGTTAATGTTAAATATACACATACCACTTCAAGATCAACAGGTGGATATTCCCAGGATGGTATAGAAGTAACAAAAGATGTCAATTTTGGCAGAAGAGACACTTGGGTCAGATATAGATCTGTGAGCTGTTCATATAAAGATGACAGATGAACTTCTGTTTGTATATGTATTCATCCACAAAGAAGGCAGAGAAGGAGAGAAGGCAGAGAAGGAGAAAAGACAGGAGAAAGACAGGGCCCCATAAAGTCTTCACAGAAAAAGGAAGAAAAGGAAGGAGTAGAAATATGTGGAAGAAAGTGTAGAAATTGTTAGAAAGGTACAAAGGAAAGCAGAAAAAGACAAAATGAAAGATGAACGTTTCAAGAAAGAAAGGATTTGTGCGAGAGGTTGGAGATCAAATATGAATGACAGAGACCTATCTTGGGTTTTAGTCAGAAAAGTAATTTGTTGTCTGGCAACAGCAATTTCAGTTGTCTGGAAGGAGAAGCAAGACTAAAGTGAACATAGGAACACCAGAATAATAACTCCAGACTTCACAGGAATATAATGTAATTTTGATGGCAATGTTTGGTTGACGCACAGAAAAAAAAAAAATGCAGACAATGTGAAACATTAAAACATCTTATCTTGAGTAAAAAGTCTCTATGCGGATAACATGATTGAGGAACATTTACACTCTGAATTGCATGATTTTTATTTTCACTTTTTTAGAATGGAAAAACATCTTGAGATATTTGGCCTGAGTTCTGTGATGTACTTTGTCTGTCTGGTACAATAGGATACACTGGAAGAAAGCCATAAAGAAGACTGATTGTGATGAATAGAGGCAGTTTAGCAGCCTTAATGTTGCTCTAAGATATCAGTTGTATAGCCCCAAGCAATCATTCAGTTTAGCATGTTAATCACATGTTACATTCCACATTCTTCCCCTACTTCAGGGTCCACCATCACAGATTTAATCTACAAGAGATAACACTATAAGCGAGCTTTACAATTTTCTAAGATGCCAAAGAAAGTTTCAAAGTGTGAATCTCAGACTTTAGACCAGTTGCTTGTTCTCTTTGAATTTTGGTTTTCATAAGGTCATTTATATTTCAATATATTCATTCTCAACTATATTAGGCACCTGGCAAGCATCAAAATCAGTTCTAGAAGCTGACTGAGAGATCTCAAAAATTATTGGCTACAAATGTTAGATGTTTCATTCTATTTTGTTACAAGTACATTCCATTTCATCAATCATGGTGAAGCAAGACTAGGACAAGAATCCTACAGAAAAAGTCAGATTGTTGTCTTGTGCTAACAAGGATCATAGGAGTCAAAAAACCCTTATTAGAGTCAGGAACTACAAAAGCAGCATAGGGCATCGTCATGATGAACCTTTGCATGCAATACCTACTCCTGAAGTAGAACTCATTCAATTATTCAGAGACCTCTGAAAGAGCTACTATTTGCACAGAAAGTATGGTAGCTAATCTGGTATTTTTGATTAGCAAAAAAGTGTTTCCAAAAAAAGTTTAAATAGTTTCATAATATGAATCAGTCTCAAGACTCATATTTTTGATAGTTTCTGTCAAAACCCTTGTAAGTTTCCAGTAAAGGTCTCAAATGTGACAGGTAATTACTTTTAGATAATAATTTTTGTACTTTGATACTGAACACAGATGTTCATTAATCTAATTACAAACCCTCCATTTAGATAAGAAAACTATCTATTTCAATGTATTATGCAAACAGCATATCACATTTTTGCTATTTGATGAGTAAAGCTGAAATTTAAATATGCTGTTTATCATCAAATTAATATAATGAAGCTCCTTTATCAGCTTCAATCCTTCATAATTTGCCTATGAGTTTTAAGCTAAATTACAGCATAATTAGTGCATGTATCCATAATGCCTATCATCTACTCCACCTCCATTCCAAAAAAAGCACTCAGAATGAAGTTGGAGTATATTTAAAACACATGTTGGAAATACCGACAGTGCTTTTCATTTTACTTCCTTTTAATGACTTTCTACTTCTCAAACATGTAAAACGTAAAAATTTCCCTCATGTCCAGTGGCAGAAAGATATTTTCAATTATGCTCTTTGAGAAATAATCTGATGCCTTAAAACACCTCTGTTTTTTTTCCTTATATACTAGATGATATAGTTACATATGTGACTAGTTATAGTTACATATGACTACATATATGTTTTTACATGTTGTCAGGACTAAGTCTGTAAAAAATACTAAGTCACTACTTATATTTAGCTCTCTTGAAATCCTGGGGAAGATGCAAGGTCTGCCTCTTTCCATAGTCACAACATTCAAGTTAAGACAATTTTGAGGAAAAAAGGCTATATAAAATGCAGTACACTGGAAGACTGCAATTTTCAGAAACATTGAAGTTGTTCTTTTGAATAGTCCAACTCACAATATCAACATACTCTTGTAATATTCCATTTCATCTACAAAATAGCAAACATTAGTATCTTATATTTTACTGTTCACAAAGCAATGTTATGTAAATGTCCTCAGAATGTTACAAATAAAAAGAATCCCCAAAAAATGCAAAGAAAAAGACATTATTATGCTTTAAGAATGCCTATATTATCAGAACTGAAATAAGGTGCTTTGTTCAGTTTTATCTGTTTTCACATACCTTCAGCTTTATTTCTGCAGTCTTGAAATACACAGACAGTTAAATAAAGAGATATAAATTCACTCGGTATATCTCCACTAAGAGATCTTCATTAGGAAGTACTTTTAATTTTAAAGCCTTTCTCTTCTGATGTTTCAGATATTTTCATTCATATTACAACACTGTTCAAGTTGGGCCAGCTACCACAGGCTAATCATAATTACATTTCTTTAGCTATGTAATACCTGTCAGCAAAGAATTTGAGAATTTTAACAATGTTATTTTCATTTTAGCATTATTATTTCAGTGCATCTGTAGTTGCATAGCAATTCCTACACAGTACCTTAATTATTTTTTCATCCATATTTTTCTGAATTCGTTGTCTAAGGGGTTTTGGAGAAGAACCTTTGGATTGTGCTGGAGATCTATATTAAAAAAAAAAAAAAAAAAAAAAAAAAAAAATTAGGAGATGTAAAAATATTTAGTTAAGAAAAAATAGTTACCATACCAAATTCCTCAGAAACAGGAAGGCAAGTATCTTCACTCTCCAAGACTTATTTTGTTTTCTCCCTTTCCAAGTAACCGTATGTACTGTGACAATTGAAGACAGCATAATGAAACCAAACCTACAGTTCCAATTTCTGGTATCATTTTGTTTACAATATTGTAGTTTTGCAGTCACAATATTATAATTTGTAATGCTGGTGATGAGTTACCAAGTCATTATACTTACACCTCCTTGAGTAGCATCTGGTTGACATCCAGAAAAATTTTCCTCATATTTACATACTTTACAATAGAAGTACTCACACAAAAAAAATTCTTCCACCTCCTATATTTTAGTACATGAATAGTTATGTACATTAATGAAAAATTTTGATACATATAATGCAAAAACTTATTGATGCATATAAGAGGAGGTTTTTTAGTCTTGAAATAAGAACTAATTTGTGCATCTGTAAATAATTACTTCTCGGTCTATGCTCATGGCAGGCCAGTGTGCATATAAGGACTTTTTTTTTTTCAAAAATAACTCATTCTGTATTTTATTTATTTAGCTCATTGTATTCGATTATTCCATAAATAAAATTTATTTTATTTAGCTCATTATTCTATTTATTTCTATTTGTATCTGGTGCAAAATTTCTGCAGGACCTTGCAACGTTTTTGCTATTTAAATTGCCAGAATACATAGCGTCAGTATGTTCCCATCTATGCTGCTGTTCTGGTTCATGAATCATCTTTGTGACCCCTAATGACAAAATTCTCAGCATCCCACTTTTCCAACTGATGATTCCTCAGGATAAGCCACTGATTAAATCCTCACTGCTTCTCTAGTGCATAGGTAGCTTAGTTTCCTTTTCAGTGCCCACAGAAATAGGTGTTCAAGAGATTCTGTTTTGTAATCTAGATGAGCATGGGTATTCCTTAAATAGAAAGAAATTTTAAAAAGCAAGAAAACAAATGAACAAGAACTAATGACTGGCTTTAACATTAATAGGATAGGAAGATGATGGGAATGATCCAGGAAAAAAAAAAAAAAAAAAAAAAAAAAAAAACCTAAATACCTGTTGAACCTGCAAAACCAGAAAAAGAGAATCTTTATTGCAAAAAGTTATGAAAATAGTTAATCCATGGTCATTCAAAATTTAACTCTAACGCAGAAATAATATCATTAATTAGAATCACCTTTGATTTCAATATCATCACCATATGTTTATGTTTGCTTTAAAAATTTAAAAATACTATGGGAAAAAATAGCATGCTTCTGTCTTGCATGCAGCTTCAAAATACAAAAAAATACCAAGGAAATTTTATTTGAACTTCTATAATGCATATCTAAAATGAATTTTTTTCCAGAAGACTGAAATCAAGTTTTTACAGAAGGAAAATATTTGACAGATATACTAAAGGACAGATTAAGTAAGGTAACTTCAGCTTGGTTAGGACTCTTCTAAAACACTGAGGACATATTATCAGTGCTTATATTTTCAGTTCCCAAATCCACATGAATTGCACAGATTACAATGAAAATATATTAATGCAAAGAAAGTCAGCAAAAAGTTAAATAACACAATAGCAGCTTCGCAGCAGTAGCTTTTTTGCAGGATTTCACTGCAGAGAAATAAATCTACCCAAGAAATTTATTACGGATAAAGCAAAGCAAGAAAATTCCTGAAATGCTGAAATTTTTAAAAAGAGGTGTTCTCATTTAACCTCAGTCTTCACCTGAAAATTAACAGTGCTCTCTCAAACTGACCAGAACCCAGACAAAACTACTCACAAACTTTAAAGATATTTTGGGATTGTTCAGTAATGAAATCTCTAGAAACAACAAAAAGCATTGTGAAAAACCACAAGACAATATCTACCATGTGATCAAAGCCCATAAAACAATAACTACCATATGAGGTGACCAACAGTCTGATACCAAGAATCAGATGAGCAAAAAGTATCTGAAAACTGCAGTGATGTTTACTGCCAAAGGTACTCCCATTCATCCTATAAACTGTTCCATATTTACTATTAGCAATAGATTTTCAAAAAGACTGCAAACATTCTAGTTCAAATATTTGAGACATAAGCATTAACAAAAAAGTGCTGTACCATAGAGGTGCCTGTACACTGATGCAAACCAGAGTGACACCTTTAGCTACTATCCTATATAGTATTAAGGTGTTCAGCATTCATAAAGCAATTGGAGACTTACAGTAAAGCTGCTAGAGAAATGTAGAACATAAAGATTTGACAAAATTTGAGGTGTTTGCATGTTTCATTTCAATTTTTGTAATTTTTTATTTCTAAAACGATTATTTAGAACCATAATATACTTTGAATAAATTACTTCTAAATCAATTTTTTAAAAGGAAGCACACAGATATTTTTAAAATTATATACTGGAATATAAAAGCTAAAACAAATCGACTACTAAGAATTACTAAGGAAAACACAAGAATTGTCTAGATTACGATATAAATTCCCAGACAGCAGTACCTGCTTACACCTACACCAAGAAGATTAAGTCAGACAAATGCCTTTTCCTTTTGGGGAAAATTCAAGAAAATTAATTCAGCTGAAAAATCAAGTGAAGTAAGTGAAAACAAAGCAGTCAGTGGGCACTCTTATTCAAGAAATAAGTGGTTCAGAACCCATTTTAAGTTAAAGAGTTACTTTAAAAAATATATATCAAGCTTTCTAGCTCTGAATAGCAGCATTGTTTAGTTCAGAAAAATTCAGGTGGGCCTTGATTCCATTCACAGAGAGCATTAACCTAAATCCAATTAAGCTCCTTTTCATTCTGATAAAAATGCAACCACAGTGAGGTTTATTAAATTTATGAAACAATTTTAAAAGTAATGTGGATCGATTTTCCTGCATCTGAAGTAATAGAAAAATAAGAGACTGAAATGAGGGTTATTTTAAGCTTGTTACATAATGAAATAGAAATGTGTAGCTATAACTATCCACAGATACTTGAGAGGTGAAAGAAATATTCCATGATATGGTGTTACAGGTTTCCTTTTAGATTAAAAAGTAATACATTTATTTAGAATTCCTATTAATGCAACTAATTTTTTTTTTAAGAGTTTTATTATAATGTGCTCGTTCCTTTGGTTTCATAGGAGGTCGAATGATAAACCTAATGGAACCCTTATCGACTTTTAGGATCCTCCATCTTCCAGTTTAGGACCTATCATTGTTTTTCCTTCTGCTATTCTCACAGCCTTGCACTTGCACACTTAGTGTTGTTATGGAGGGCTCTCATGGGAAACAACTGCCACCAGCATAAGAAACACCCCCTTCTTCCCCACTTTTCCTACCCTTTTCATTGTAGCTCTTCTTTTATGTTAGGGACCTCAAAAATCTGATTGCACAGAGATTAATAAGCAAGTGAGCATGCAGTCCCTGCCCTGATGAACAAATGCTCCAATCAGTGCTAAAGGCACCAAAGCAGGGACAACCAGGAAGGCGTTTGAGCAGGTTCTTATGAAGACAGTATAGTTACCCTGGGAAAAGCACTACTGGGGAACTAACCACTGTACTTTAGCAGATGCTTATCTGGGAACCCTGCCTGCTTTACTACCCAGATGGCCACCAGGGAGAATTTTCTCTCACCTCTCCTCTTCCTCCTCTTCTGATTTTATTCTTCCCCAAAAGCAACTTTCACCATTAGAGTTAATCAGCTACAGATCCCACCAATAAATCTTCATGCATATGAAACTGTTTCAACATCCTTTGTGCAATACTATCCTGACTGGTATATCATGATATGAAAAACTATTTAACTATTTAAAACTGTCTCCACAAAATAATTACTATGTAGGAAGAAAAAAGGATAACCCATAAATTGCTTGTGTCATAGCTAGACAAAGGACACATCTTCAAATTGAATATTAAAATAATTAGCCACTGAACAAACAGTATTTGAACTGGGGAGTTGAAACTCAATTTGAGGTATTTGGAAGGTTTTTTGCAAAGGATATTACTTCACGAGTTTTGTCAGCCCAGAAAAAAAGGGGTTCGTGAAGCTCAAAAAGTCCGTATTACAAAAGTATCGTGAAGATACAGAAAATGCAAATAAGGAGGTAGAATACTTTTGAGAACCTGAGACTTTCTAAGAATGCTTTCCCTTTACACCTAACCTCATAACAGACTGCACTGTGGTCATTTGCTCTGTGTAAGTAATAACAATGCTTTGTTAACCACTCAGTAAAAGATCTTTAAAGACAAACCAACCAACCTAACATAAAAACTTTCTACTACTCACCTGAAGAGTGTCAAAACAGAGGTGATTCCAAACAAATTTAAGCTTTCATCATCATATAATAGCTCCACTTTGTTCTGGGTAGGAGGATTGACAGCTTCTTCATCCAGAAGAACTAGTAAGACCTTTACAGTCTCTCTGCCACAATACACAGTACCATGATTTATGGAATGCAATTTTGGCTGAAAGTAAATAAAATCAAAAGGAACATACAACAGGAAAGGTCAACAAAGCCAGAGCAATAGCTCACCTGCAAAAGCAACCCATACCAGCACAAGGAGTGAGAATCCCCTCCTTCCCTTTCCAGTAAGCATTTATGGGGAACTTGCCCATGGGAAAGTTTCTTCCTCATCCCAAACAATTAGAGTTTAGATCACTGCCAGCTGGAGGTGTACACTGATGAGCAAGTCACACAGATAAATATGCAAATCTGTGATGAAACCATGCAGCAGAAATTAACATATTATTTTCTCACAACCAGTTTGAGAGCTATGGGGTACACAAACACATTCTGGTGAGGTCCAACTCCTCTGACTAACTGAATCTGCTAAAGCAGTTGGTTAAAAGTGAGATTTCCATCAAGATTTGACAACAGAGGTACTTGGCACAATCTCTTGTTGTTTGGAACAGGATGAATTCCTCAAAATTTTCCACAAGAATAAAGAATTCCTTAAAGAAAATAATAATCCACATCTGGAAGTGCTCAATGTTACAGTCAACAGTACAGATGTAGAACTCCATAGCCACTATGGGACTGAAAGAATTGCAAGTTTGCTATATTTTTCTTTAAAAGTACTAGGAGTTCCATAGAAAAATTTAGTACTTATACACAGTAGTACATTTTTAAAACTATAGGCTTTCTTATTTACCAATACACACAATCATTAAACAGCCTGACTTTGTTCAGGACAGGACAAGCAATGAACTGCATTTATCTAATCAGTTAACTGCTTTTAAACACAGTCTTGAAAAGATCAAATTCTTTTTCTCTCTCTATTTGATTACATCAATTAGTGTATGTAGCTTTCAAGAAACCATAGCAACACATGTCAGTCAGTTACTATAAGTTATAATCAATAGCTAGAAATAGCAATTACAGAAATGGTTGTTACTTGGCTTTACAGAATTGGCCTATTTCAGTACCATTTAATTTCCTCGAAATTTATTCTGAACCTCTTCAGTCATTACATCACCATCATAGATTTTTATAAAATGTCATGTGTGTCATGGTAAATTCGTCTTAATGAGAAGTACAAATCTGGCATCATCTCGACTGATTATATACAAAGGAAAAAAAAAAAAATCTTTAGAATTAACAACCTCCTAACTGCTAAAAGATGACCTTCAGAAATCTCATGCACTACAACAATGACTTGATATATTAACCATGGACTAAAATCCTATTGTTCAAGGCACAGTAAGAACTTTAGGCAAGACAACAATCCCTGCCATAAAAATCTTGTTTATTAGTAAGCTTAAATTCATAATTCTAATTATTTTTTCAAGAAAGTAGTTGATCAGTCTTTCAAGGGTAGTGACCATTAGCTACTCTAGACTATTCTGGTTAGTTCCAGGAACACTAGCCAGATTCCATTTACAGTAGGAATTTTCTCAGGAAGAAATTAATCATAATTCCTATTAGTCACTCGTGCAGGCTTCAACACAAAGTAGTACTTCCTTCTGCATAAAGTAATACATTTTCCTGGAGCTCTAAATTCTTATAAAACAGGTATTTGCAGGAAAACTGAGCAATGATGGAAGAAAACTGCCACTGCCAGGAGAAAAGCAAATATTTTTCTAACCAAGTAACTCTTTTCAGGTACATTTTATGAGGAAGCAGCCTTCCCAGGAGCCAGTGGAGCCATTATTTTCAGTTCTATAGTTAAGATAGTATTATAAGTTTGCACTCAGAGAAATTATTCAGTCTCTTACATATGAAAAAACATAACATCCTATCAAAACAAGAACTATTCTGAATATAGAACAATTTTTCAGAAAAATAACAGCATCAGGGTTTGGGAGTTTCTTTGTAAAGTAAAAAACAACACACAATAAAAAAACCAACCTATATGTGAAACTTAGCACAGAGCATTAATCTTTGCTCTCCTGAGATCTTAATGGAACAATACGGATGCTCAAATTTTTTTTATGCAGCTCAAATTCATTTGGAAAACTTATGGGGTTTTTTTTGGCTTTGTTTGTTTTGTTTCTTAATTAGCCATGGTAACCTACCCTTCTGTATGCTTAGTAAAATGCTTAGTAAAATGTTCTTCCACATCAACCTCCACTAAAATACAAAATCCAATATCAGTAACTTTTGTCTAAGCTCCCTTGACTCTGTGAATCACATTTTTAAGAACTATCATTAAAATATATATTCATCACACAATCTTCACAAATTCCATTTACTTCACTAAAAATCCCCATACCAAAATCAAAATAGGGTAATCACAGCACCAACAAAGGCAGACAGTTTACACACAGAACACCTCTTGTCCTTTCACCACAATTACAAAACCAAAAATCGCCCATACTTATTCCAGTCTCTAGCAATGTTCAGTCCACATTTTGTCCATTACCTCCCAGTTACTGTCCTTATCTCTAATTCCTCAGACCCCACAAAGCACTGTTGTAGGCTGACCTTGGCTACCTATCAGGTACCCACCAAACTGCTCTATCACTCCCCCTCCTCAACAGGACAGGGAGAGAAAATATGATGAAAAGCTCACGGGGTTGAGATGAGGGCAGGGAGTTCACTTACCAACTACCATCATGGGCAAGAGAGACTTGACCTAAGGAAACGAATGTAATTCATTACCAGTTAAGCAGAATAGGAACCCTCCCTTCTTCCCAGACTCAACTTCACTCCCTACTCTTCTACCTCCTTCCAAGTGATACATGGGGATGGGGAATGAGCATTGTGGTTAGTTCCTAACATTTTGTGTCTGATGCTCCTTCTTCCTCACACTCTTCCCCTGCTCCTGTGTGGGGTGCCTCCCATGGGGTACAGTCCTTCACAAACTTCTCCAGTGTGGGTCCTTCCCACAGGCTCTAATTCTTCATACGCTGCTTCAGCATGGGTTCTTTCCCCATGGTGAAATCCTTCAGGAACAGACTGTCCAGCACGGGTCCCCCATTAGGTCACAGGTCCTGCCAGAAGATCTGTTTCTGCATGGGCTCCTCTCCATGGGCTACAGTTTCTACCAGGAATCTGCTCCTGTGTGGGCTCTCCACAGCATCACAGCTTCCTTCAGGGCACATCCACCTGCTCGGGCATAGGGTTCCCTCCACAGGCTGCAGAGGGACAACCTGCATCAATGGTCTTCACCACAGGTGATGGGAATCTCTGCTCGAGTGCCTGGAGCACCTCCTCCCTCTCCTTCAGCTGAGCTTTGTGTCTGCAAAGTTGTTTCTCTCATGTATTCTCACTCCTCTCTCTCAATTGCTGTTGTGCAGCATTTTTTTACCCCTTCTTAAAACAGAGGTGTTACAACCATTACTGACTGGCTCATCTTTGGCCCCCAGTGGGTCTGTCTCTGATCCATCTGGAATGGGCTCTGTCCTGCACAGGGGCAGCTTCTGGTGTCTTTTTACAAAAGCCACCCCTGAAGCCCTCACCGCTACCAAATCTTGCCACATAAGCCCAATACAGCACTAGATCTGTCAAGCCAAGTGGCACTTCGGTCACATCCAGACCAGTGTAATTTCTGATGGCTCTCAGTTACACCCATACTGTGCTGAGTATGGCTATAGTGTAGTTAAGTATGGTGAAAAGGATTGGCTTAAAGCTCATCATCCTCTGCTATGTACTGAAGTTTCCTCACTGAGAAGAACTATAGTAGAATCTGCCCATGCATGGGTAGATGGGATGTTCCAGCAATCAATTAACTTAAACTCAAGAATTGGCAAAAACTTCAACATAGAACCACAGACTCATAGTAATATAATCAAGTTCATAAGCTGCCTTCAGGTGCCTATTGTGAGAAAAATATTAACTTCACACTGCTCTCAATGGGACCAAGTATTTAGCGATTTCCTAACAACATCGGGATACAATATTTTCTACTATCTTCTGCCTCAACAAGGATACTGGTAAACATTCCTACAGAGACATTAGACAACAAACTTGACCTATGGAGAACAATAAGAAACACAAACCATTTTGGAAAAGCAATTTTTTGGTGAATTTCTTTCAAGAATGAAGTTTTATTAAAACAGTTTTACCTGGCTTGTGATGATTTAAATTTTAAAAAATTCTGTCAGTAACACAAGTAGCTAAATAAAGACAGAACTGATAATGTTGATGAATTTTTTGGAGGGGAAGGGGGAAAAAATAGGATATGAAAGGAAAACAGGGAAAGACACATGAAAGATTCTAGGAAAACAGAAAAATGAGGATGGAACATATACTGCAACTGCTCAGTGGAAACACACATTTAAACCAGTTTAACTAGCCACTAGAGTCTGGCTGGTTTTAGCTCTCAGAATAAAAAAGATGCATATTGGAAATCTGATTTTTTATTTTTTTTTAATCTTATGTTACCATGGGGTAATTCCAGTGATTTCATAAAACAAAGCATTCTAACAATGTGCACACATTCTAAGTGTCTATAAGTTTTAAAATGTTGCTAGACAAAAATACATTACATTAGATATTTTATATCAATAAATACAACAATGTAAAATAAAATAATTAAAGCTGGTTGATATTTTCATTGCAGAAAGGATCATAATATAAACTTGAGTAGATTCAAAGTACAGAAAACACAAATAAATAGCTTGCATTCTGCCTCTCCACACATGACTTAAAGAACTTTAAATATCCTGATTCCTTCCATGAAACTAAAATCATTAATAGTTTCATTAGTGTCTTGAAACACTAAAAGAGAAAAAAATACATATTGATTGTTTGGTGTTTTATTTTTATTCCCCTCCCACTTCATATTTCACCATGTTTTGGACTTCCTTCATATTTAACATTATTTTGAATGCTTTACTCAGAAATACTTGATGCCGAGCTAATTAAAACCTACATATTTTAATAAAAATTACTAATGCATGTTCTCAAATCTTTACTCCTCTTTCATGAAGTTTTTTGTTTGGAAATTTGTTATAGCTCTACTGCCTTGAAATTAGTGGCAAACCTGACAGTTATCTCTATCTATAATAACTTAATGAAAAAATTAAGATCTGAAGACTATTTTATTTACAATTTTGAGGTAAAAAATTTAGTTTAAGTAAATCAGCTTTTTGAAATCCACACTGTAATCCTCAAGTACAAGTCTTTCAACAAGTTGAAAGCCACAGTGTAGAGGAAATGACACTACTCTGTACTGTTAGGAAAAGATAATATACTAATATGAAGTCCTTTAAAAAATAAAAAAGAAACAAAACAGGTGAAAGACATTTGCTTTTTTGTAAAGCTAAATAGTAAAAAGAACAAAAGAAGTCCCATTACCCGTGCTGGACTGACTCCAGTAGTGCTGGCAGTCAAGACTTCATGTTGAGAATCGATAATATTTTTAATCTTCAAATCCAAATCTTGTACAGCTTCCTCTACTGCCTGACAGAAAGGATCCCCACTGCTTAGGCCTTTTATCAAATGCATCTTCACTGTTGACAGAATTCGCCCCCCTGCAATTCTGAAAATAGGCACAGGGTCATCTCCACATTAATCTTGGCAGCACTTTAGTATACCTATTAGTGTTGAAAATAGTCTTCACAGTTAATCAAAACTCTTCAGAGAACAGCTTTGATCTTTTAAATCAAACAGCAGTGTAGAAGTATTATCCAACATAATAGTTTCCTAAAAAAAAAAAAAAGATTATAAGGAAAGGTAATGAATTCAGCATTTAGTAATACTCTGAGCTGCAACACAAAACTAACTTCTCCATAAAAGTTCAAAGAAAAGCACTTTCTTTAAACCTACTGTTTTGCTCATAAGCTGTTAAATGTAAACAAAATGTTTCACTGGAACATGCATTCCAATTTAACAGTCTATTACATTTTTGAGTCTTTTGTGCTTCATGAAAGTGCTTCAAAATATCAATCTGCTTTCAATTTTATTTAAATAGATAGTAATTAGACTAGATGAATATCACTGTTTGACATAAAAGGCAGACACTAATAATCTCTTTTTTCATCAACTAGAAAAAAATGCCTACAGAAAACAACTTAGTAGTTCAATTATGAAATGTCCGTGCAGTTTGACACCAAAAATATAAATAAATGAATCTGATCGATAAAGGGGCTTCATTTCAACTCCTCTTATAGAAGGATAAGAAGGTATTTCTGAGTGTACCTAACCCATGTTTAGACTGTTAATTTCAATTTTTAGTCCTGTACCTTGAACCATCCATGTTGCATGTATGATAGACTACTTTTGGGATCACTTTTGGGTTAGAACTACCAGGTCTCTCCCCAGCAAAACTCTTGAGGAATTAGCAGTTTACAGTTGTACAGATGATGCTCCAATAGGCAATATTGAGAGAACTACACCATAACTTGCTCCCTCAGACTTGCACGTATTCTATAAAAATGGAAATAACAGGCTGCCAAGTAGACCACGTTATCCTAAGTTAAAAAAAAAAAATAAAAAATCAATTCTTGAAGAATTACAAGGAAAACAAAAGATCTTGTGTCCAAAAAATGGCTACAGGGGCAGAGGCTCTTGTGACAGTGCACCTTGATTTGCCTAGACCTGGTGAATAAAAAGAAGCAGTTACAATTCCAAGAATTGTAAATATGAAGAAGCAGTAGTGAATAAGAAGCAGTAGTTACAATTCCAAGATTTCCACTGGCCATTTATAAGTGCATCTTTCCATTCAGGAGTTGAAAGTGCTGCTTAAAATGATGCTTAAAATTAATAAAATAACTTAAAGCTTATAATGAGAGTGAGTATAGTCCCATCACAAGAATGGAAAATCCAAGCGTTAGAAGTGAATTGTTCATTTTGCAATTGTAATATGTGGTGAGTAGGTGCAAAAGCTATATAGAGGTATGAAGTAGGAATCACTAGTCGTGAGGCACTACTATGAACTATGACTATGAGCCAGGTTAAGTAAATTAGCTAGGGCATCACAATCTTATCTCAGAGATGATCAAAAAATATATTGGACAGCAAACATGTCACAACTACCTTAATGATGATTTAATGAACAATAGAATAAACCCTTTGAGTTAAAAGCTTAATAATTTTGTCCAGTACCTACACAAAACATTAAGTGAAAGACTTTAATTTTTACCATTCCTCAAGTTTGGGCAAATAAAAATAAAAACATTACAAGAACCACTCAGCTCTCCTACATCATAACGCATCTCTTCCCAAAAGCTTAAGTTGCGTGCTGTTTGGAAACTTTATCATTAATTCTCCAGTCTTCTCAGAACATGAACCCATCATCCAGACTGACACAGTTGATTATAATCAAGATTCCCCTCACCCCACTAAGCAATCATTTATCTTCTGTGTAACATCATATAAGGACTTCATTATTTCCCCATGACATTTCATCTTTGATTTCATCCTCTTTCTGCTTATTTTCCTCAACCTTTTCAGAGTGTGATAGTCTATATTTTTACTTTAGCTCTAATTTATATGATCTTTTTAATTGATTCCCTCTCCTTTTATGTTTTCACATACAGAATTATTTTCACCTTTGAATACCAGCTGATAACACATGTAAGAATAAAGGAAGAAATAAAATCATAACACAAGGCACAAAGGACCCATTCTTTAAAAAAAATGATTCGCAGGAAAAATAGGTAGAACTCTATGTTCAGAAAATACCCTGAAGTGAAATTAGAGATTGGGACAGCACTCATGAGAAGTATCATAATCATTTTCTCTGTTCTTACAATGCATGTATTTATTGACAGTGTTGGAAACAAGATCCTGTGCTTGTGGACCCTTCTTTTGAAGTTGTACAATCACATTTCATATCCTTAAAGTAAGGTACATTCTCTGTGGTAACAGTATGACTCAAAAAATTAAAGAAGACAAGCAAAAAAACCCCAGGCTTCCAGTCACCATGGTTTTGATAAAAAATTTCCAGTGAAGCTAGATATGCTTGTGATGCTAAGTTCAGTTATGAGACTGATTTGCTGTCAGATTTTATTTTTTTTTTTAATTTTTATGAAGCCTAAGTATAATGTCAGGCAAAAGCAACAAAAGCAATTCTGTTCATTCTGAACTCCTACTCTAAGAATTTTTCCTTTGCAGTCAATCTGCTTCATGATCTATTAAAATAATCCATCTTCCCTTTCCAATTAACCTACAGTTTCTTTTCCCAGACTTAAAGGAACACTAGCCACTTTCCTGCAACATCCTGCAAGAATTGGATAGGAAGACCAACCCTAAAAAACAGTAGCCTGTTAAATCTTGTCTTTAACAGCACAATTGCTAATATTTTATTGTTTTTCCTAAGAGTTAGGTTTATAGTCCAAGTCAAAGCAGAAATGCATCATGTTGCGTGTAACCTATAAATCTATCTAGCTCTGATACCAATAGTTTTGACTTAACTATACCCTGGACTGTACAAAATGACTCCATATTTATTCACACACCCTGAACTCTTGAGCTGCTATTTACACTTATGGTAGAATTTTTAGCTACATCTCTGATGCTGCAAACCACAACTCTGCAAAAAATCCAAAGTAATGGCAATGGCTTTATTACTCCAGGTGGCATAGCTGAGTGAGTTGATGACTAATTTTTCAACTTCCTCCATGCTGCTGCCTACTTATCCTAAAGGATACCTTGCAAATTGAAAGAGAGGTATATTTTATTACTATTAAATTCTGAAGATGAATTTTAGAATTCTCGTTGTGAAAACCTCCACCAACTGAAACTCTGCGTGTCTACATTCATATAAAATATAAAACAAGTGGGCAGATCTAGGTAAGAATAGAAATTGAATCAGAGGAAAACTAGCTTGTTAACATTGTTTCCTGTTAAAATACATGAAGGGAATTGGGCCAGAGACCTTGCTGTTTTGGCTTACAAGAACAAGACTCCCATAAATAACTTAGAAAACCTGAATCTAACTTGAAACTTTTTTTTTTTCAGGTCAAAGCCAAAAATTTACACACAATTCTCAGCTTTAACTTTTATAGATTAAAGATCATTTAATTCACATTAGATTTGCAGGCTTAATTAAACCGAAAAACATGTGCTTTGCAGAAATTTAAGCACAGCGTATGCACTTAGCCAAAAGAAAAGTCACCATATGAAGTCTCTCTGCACACAGGTCAACAACCATCCACATCTTAGAAAGGACAGATTTTTTAGAATAAGATGCTGGTGTACCTCTGCTCCAAAAACCACAACTCAGTCTAACCACAAGAGAATTAAAAGTTCAAGGGGAAAAAAAAAAAAAGACAGTGCAAGTTGTCAAGAAGTAAGAAGAGAGCACTGCAGAAGAAAAGTTGTCTCAGAGATGCATACAGGAACTGTAGCCAAGTCTCCTGATGCTTGTTGCCAAACTACTTTATTCCTCTCAGCCCTAAACTGACATTTTCCAAAATAATACCCTGAAATGAAAAAAGCATTGTATTAAATGAGTAGTATCTGTTCCATAAATACTGCGCTGAACCTAGAACTCCAAGACAAACAAGCAGGTGAGGGATCTACTGAAGTTGTCTGAAAACCAGGTTCAGTCCTTTCTGTCTACAGATATCTTGAGCTTATCTACATCATTATAATTGCCACACATTTTACATACATATACATGTATGTATGCTGGGAAAAAAAGTATTATTATACATATAGCATCGGGCATCAGTTAATTAAGATAATCATGCCCTTAATTTAAATGCTATGCTCTGTATGTGACTTGAATACCTTGTAGCTTGTTACTGAGGAAAAAAAACTGTTATAAAAACATTTTCTATGTTTATGTTTTGCCTCTACTACCCAACGCCAGTTAAGGATATTCACTATTAGAAGTAAAGTTCATTTAATCTCTTTTTCTCCCCATATTCCTCCTTCTTTTCCAGGAAATAGTTCCAGTCCCCCATAAGATATACACAGTACTAACTGGAGCAGAGAAAAGGAAAAGTTTATTCATACTTCAACTAGAATTTATATAAACAGGCCAAGACATAAAATGCTGATCTAATGTGTGTGGATTAGTACTGAAACACTGTTCCCTAGCTTATGCGATTTTACACCAGGATATGATAGAACAAAATAAGTTATGTTGTGAGGTTTGTTTTATTAGTCTTGAATATATCTATCAAATATTGAATCCACATCATTTGTGCTATTCTATGAATATTTCAAAGTTTACTTACAGAAAGCTCTTACTAACCATGTCTAGCAGTTTCAAAAAGTACAGTCAAGCCAGTCTCAGTAGGAAAGGCATTCTTTAATCTCTTTATATATGCCATCTAGAGCACAAATGGAGATGACTAGGGTTCTGTCCAATGTTTACAGAGTCCCTTCTGTGGTAAAGAGTATCATCCTTTTCCCAGAAAAGACAATTCACTGGATCAAAAAACAATTTAAGAAATAACCATCTTGAAGATGAAGCTATAAATTCATTCAACAATATATATAATAGTTCCATTTGAAGCAAACAAATAAATTACCTGAGCAACTTCAGGCCCATTAGTAGGACTTCATTGTTAGTGATATTTGAAAAGA